ATAAATACAGGAGCTAAATTCTGGATTCAACTATTTTTAGTAGATTCAGCTCAAATCACGAATTCTCAGAAATTTTATCCAAGAAAATAATTTCCTTACATAGCATCACCCAGTTAATATGTAACACATTATTAGATATACATAATATAACACATTAGATATACATATTAGATATATATAACAGATTATATAGATATATATCTAATATGTATATATTAATATATATCTAATATGTATATTATATTAATATATAAAATTAATTATATATGATATATATCTTAGATATATTTTTAAAAGAAACTATTCTTAAAAACAAAGACCACAAACTAGCAGCAAATATATATATTATACATAATGTATATATCTTAGATACATATCTATATAATTTGTTATGTATAATTAATATAATATACATATTAGATATATATATATCTAATAATGTGTATGGGCTTTCTAATAATCTAATTATCTCTTACCCTCTTAAGTTCTGTAAACACTTTTAGTTAGTGCATTTAATTTAGTGCAAAGTTTTCAGCTATACAATTTTCCTTTCCAATTTAAAAATGGAGGCATGCCCTTGACAAATATATATAAATACATCGTATGAAAACAATAACAAAATTGAAAACCTAAAAACTAAAAATTAAAAGCTAGATCACCTCAAATGTCTTTTTACTCTTAGGAAGAGAAATTCTTCTTTGAGGCCTATCTTCCTTGCTTGCAGTTGGCTGCCTTCTTGCTATGTCTTCATATGGCCTTTTGTGTGTGCGTGCACGTGTGTGTGTTTGTGTGGTGGGGTGGGGGACTCGGGAAATCTGTTCTCCCTCTTCCTCTTCTTACAAGAATATCAATGCTATAGGTTTAGGCCCCACTCTTCTGACTTCATTAACCCTAATTATCTCCTGACAGGCCTTATCGCTAAATACAGTCACACATTGGGAGTTTGGGCTTCACTATGTGAATTGGGGGGCACACAATTCCGTTCTGAACAGGGAAGACACAAAAAAAACAAAAACTGAAACAGAAGTCCACAGTTTGGCCCAACTGGGTTTTCAAAATTCACTGAAAGAATTTATACAATACATAGACAAAAGGGCAAGAATTGGCTTTTGTGCCTCTATTAACACTGGCTCTGAATTAACATCTGCTGAAATATACCAATTGGCAAACCTTTATGCCCTTAATTAATATTGGGGATCCCCCTAAATTTAAACAAGAGTACTCCTATAATCTTAGGGGAGTTATTGAACATCATATAAAGGACAAGTAGGTATGCCTCACCTTAACCACAGGAATTTTGTCTTAATTCCCCATGGTCATCACACCCATTGTTCTAAAATATCCCATAGTGGTCATGGACTCTCTGACCCAATGAGTAATGAATTAGTTTTAAGTCTTTGACACTAACAAGTTGCCTTTTAAAATAGACCCCACAGATCTACTGCTTCCCCATTAAAACATTTAATATAGCCAAATGTAAATTAAAACAGGGCCTTTAATGTTTGAAACCTATTATACAAGAACTGTTTAGAAAAGGGGTGATTATCCCACTGCCTGTCATTTAAGAAACCAATTTGACCAGCTTTTACACTTGGGAGGAATGAATGGTGCCTCCTGGTGGATTACTTCAACCTCAATGCTGTGGACCTCACTAAGGACCCATACCCAGTATAACTGAAATTACTGACTTCATCTAACCAGCAATGGTAGATATTTTGCTATTATATATTTGGTGAATATGTTTTGTTGAGAGCCTATTTCAACAGTCTTAACTGCAGTTTGCCTCCTAAAGGACCCAGTACAGTTTTACCCAGCTAGCACAAGGTACTGTAACATACTATTTTGGAGAACAAGATAGAAACTGCACCTTACTTTTCCCAGAAATGCAGGTATAACATCACACTGATGACCTCCTCTGCTGAGGAGATTCCTTTGATACACTCACATAGGACATACAAATGCAAAGGAGCTCAGGGGGTAACCCACTGCCTCACAGAGCAAGGCCTTCGTTGATTTCTGAAAATAATTGGATAAACTGAAGGCTGCTCCATCCATGACATTGTTTAGAAACAGTTATTGAGCCTCTCAGCACCCACAACTTCTTTTAGCCTCTTTTGGTTTCTGGAGGAAACATACTTCTCATTACAAATTGTATTAAGCCCATATATGTTGTTACTTGAGAAACGACTCACCTCGAATGGGGCCCCTTCTAACCAAAGGTTCTAGAAGCTGTCCAAATTGCAAAACAATTGACACTCCTGTGTGTCTCCCAAAGACTACTTAATTGTCAAGGATTTAGTAGTCTTCTATCAGTGTGAGAGTTGTGTGCACGTAATAAAACCACAAATATTTGGATTTTGCCAAAATTAAAGGTATTTTGGCATTGGTATTTTAAATAAACTATTTTTAAACACGAAAAGGAAGATCACAAACTAGTAGCAAATATTCATAACACATATCAGAAGAAAGATTTGTATCCTAACCTGTCTATTCATTCTCCTATTAATGGATATTTGGGTTGCTGCTAGCTTTTGGTTGTCATGCATTATGAATGAATACAGCTGCTGTGGACATTGTGTACAATTCTTAGTGGTCAGGTTTTAATCTCTCACATATAAATACAGAGGAGTAGAATTGCTAAGGTCATAAGGAAGGCGTACATCTAACTTCATAGAAACTACATGAGTATTTTTTCCATAGGGATGGTATTTTATACTCTATTCAGCAATGCATGAGTGTTCTTGTTCCACATCCTTACCAACACTTGATATGGTCAATTGTTTTAATTTTGACCATTTGGTAGGACTGAAATGTATCTTACTGTGGTAATAATTTGCATTTTCCAGATGACAAATGATCTTGAGTATCTTTATATGTGCTTATTAGCCAGGTGAATAATGCTTTCTTAAAGAATGTGTTCGGGCCGGGTGCGGTGGCTCACGCCTATAATCCCAGCACTTTGGGAGGCCGAGGCGGGTGGATCATGAGGTCAAGAGATCGAGACCATCCTGGTCAACAAGGTGAAACCCCGTCTCTACTAAAAATACAAAAATTAGCTGGGCATGATGGTGCGTGCCTGTAGTCCCAGCTACTCGGGAGGCTGAGGCAGGAGAATTGCTTGAACCCAGGAGACGGAGTTTCGCTGTTGTTGCCCAGACTGGAGTGCAATGGCACGGGCTAGGAACACCGAAACCCCCGCCTCCTGGGTTCAAGAAAAAAAAAAATGTGTTCATGTATTTTGACTATTTGTTAATTGGGTTGTCTTATTAGTTTTAAGAGTGTTTTATATTTTGTAGATACTAAATCTTTAACAGATATAAGTATTACCAATATTTTCTTCTGGTCTATAATCTGCATTTTCTTTTTTAATAGCTTTTTAGCTTTTTAGAGACAGAGCCTTGCTCTGTTGAGCAGTGGCACAGTATGGCTCGCTGCAGCCTCAAAATCCTGGGCTCAAGTGATTCTCCCGCCTCGGCCTTCCAAAGTGTTGGGATTACAAACATGAGCCACCACTCCTGGCCCCTATATTTTCATTTAAAATTCTTTATCTTTTATTTTGAAATAGCTTTAGGTTTATAGAAAGTTGTAAAAAATAGTACAGAGTTCCCATATACTCTTTATTCAGCAAATGATGGTGTTAATTATATAGCCATTGTGATAACCAGCCAGCCTCCAAGGTGTTCCTCAGTGATTCCCACCTCCTAATACTAATGCCCTTGTGTAGTCTCCCCTTCCACAGTGTCTACGGCTGACCTGTAAAAACAATAGGATACTGTGGAAGTGCCAGAGTGTGTTTTCTAAGTATAGGTGATAAAAGACATATATATAGCTTCTGCCTTGCTCTTTCTTGGGTTACTTGTCTCTGGGAGAAGCCAACTGCCAAAAAGTGAGACCATTCAAGCAGCCCAATGAATAGGCAGTAATAGAAAGAGACAGTGTCTCCCTCAGGGTCAAAGGGCAAACTTTCTTATTGTCCAGTATAGTGAAGATATTGGCTCCTCAGAGGAATGAGTAGCTATGCTTATTGCCTGTTGTAAAAAATTTGAGTTCCCTAAATTCAGGATTCCTTGTTTGTAATACACCCCACTTTTGTTTAGGAATCAGTTGGCCCTCTTTACTCCGAGGGAACTGAGCTCAGAGAACAAGAAAAAAAAAATGCTGGTACTCTAGCTGCTGCTACTGCTGTGAGCAATAAACTGCCCTCTGTCTCTGACCCAGGAGTCTCATGTCTTCTACCAGCATTTATGAAACTATAGCAGGCTACCTTATTTGCTCACAAGTAAGATGAAATCTCCAACCCTTCACAGTTTCTGACAGTTTTGATGTTAAGAATGGGATTCTCACAGAGACTCTTCCTCTTTCTGAATGAGGGCCTTGTAGAGATTTGCAGAAGTTCCTGGGCACTTACAGTGAACATGTTGATTAAATTACATTGTCACTATATTCAGAGTTATGTACAATTTTGAGGCATTTTCACCGTTCCGAAAAGATACTGCTTATCCTTTAGCAGTCACCCTTCATTTGTCCTAACTGCTTCAGCCCTAGACAACCACTAATTTACTTTCTGTCTGTATAGATTTCCCTCTTCTGGGCATTTCATATAAATGGAATCATGTAATACGTAGTCTTTTACTTAGCATAACGTTTTCAAGGTCCAAGTAGTAGGACATGTCAGTACTTCATTTCTTTTTACTGCTGAAAAATTTTCTATTGTATGAGGGGATAGACCACATTTTGTCTGTGTTGCCCATTTGATGGACATTTGGGTTGTTTCTAGTTTTTGATTATTATAAATAATGTTGCTGTGAACACTCATGTGCAGGTTTCTGTGTGAACGTATCTTTGATTTCTCTTGGGTATACACCTTGGAAAACTCTCAAACTGTTTTTCATCTACTTTCACACAAGCAAAAAAACAATCAATACAAAAGAAGGCTTCTGTGACCCTACAATATGTGGGGATTTCTCTCACCAGCAAGCAAGCAATCAATTCTACAGGAGACACCAACTGGGTGTCCGCCAATTCAATTCTGACCCTATCTATCTGGAGACAGTGTCAGATCATCCCATAAGACTCTGGGCCCAGTCACCCAAGACTCCCCACCAGACCCCCAACCCAATGGAACTCTGGGCCTCTGGAACTTCTGACCAACTGGTTTCAAGTTGGGGTTCCCATGACCCTCTCTTTGGGTTCAAATAATTTGCTGAAGAGGCTCACACAACTCAGGGAAATATGTTTTAGTGGTTTCTTTCAAAATTTATTACAAAAGATACAGGTGAAAAAATATTTAAGGTAAGGGATGGGTGAAGAGCTTCCATATCCTTTCTGGGCACACCACCCTCCAGGAATTTCCACATGTTCAGCTATCCTGAAGCCCTCTGAACCCTATCCTTGTGGGTTTTTATGGAGGCCTCATTATGTAGGCAAGATTGACAACCATGCAAAAAATGTGACAGGACAAAAAGGTCCCATACTAATAGACAGAGTAGGGAAACCCAGCCAGGCCTGTCTGTTCAGAATCTTCTTGGTCTCTCTGTGCAGCATTCCTTCCTCTAGAGTATGGGGCAGGACCTTCTCTGGAATGAGAATCTTATGACCCACAATCAGACTGAGTTCTGGTTTGGGCAGGTGAAAGGAGGGCAGGAGGTCAGAGAGAGAGATTCTGTTTCCTGAGGGCTGCTCCTGCCCTCAACATTGTAACAAAAGACTCTAACAAGATCTATATGAGTTATGAGCCAGGAATTGTAGAAAAAGTGCAATATATACATAGGTATATAGTCTTATTAAAATTACCTGATTATATTATGATGGCTTCTTTACATAACTGTTTTTCTCTATAGATTATAATCTCCTAAAGTTTTGGGACTATGCCTCTCTCTTATATATTCTTAATGCCAAGAAACACATTATAAAGTCAATGAATAACTGCTGAATGAATATTTTGAGGAAAAACAGAAGAACCCATGAGCAAATTGATGAGAAGCCTACCAGGCCACTCTGGAGGTAGGAAAATAAATTCTACATAAATTAACAGACATGTATAACTCACACACAAGTGAGAAATGACAATAATTACATATTTCTCCTAGGATTCATGACGCTCAGAATGAAGACTTCTTGCTGTAAAGTTAGAAGTCCACCAAATAGATATTTTTACGTCTCAAGGGACATTTTAATTTATAGATTTATAGCTCCTGAAATTAAATGTGACCTCAAGGGAACAAGTATTCTGTCTTCAGGCAGAATATTTTCTTTTTTCTTTTTTTTTTGTTTTTTACATTTATTTATTTATTTTTTTAAAGATGGAGTTTCACCATGTTGGTCAGGCTGGTCTTGAACTCCTGACCTCAGGTGATCCACCCGCCTTGGCCTCCAAAGTGCCTGGATTACAGGCATGAGCCACCACACCCAGCCAGGTAGAATATTTTCTGTATTACCCTATTCAGGAAAAAAAAAAAAAAAATTGAGACTAATATATGTACACTGGAATCTACCATTTTGAAAGCATGAAGGGTAACATTTTTAGTTATGTTTAGTTTTGTTATATTCTCTTAGACTCATTTCAATAATTGGAGACAATCGGCTGGGCAGAGTGGCTCAAACCTGTAAACCCAGGACTTTGGGAGGCTGAGGTGGGCAGATCACGAGGTCAAGAGATCAAGACCATCCTGGCCAACATGTTGAAACCCCATCTCTACTAAAAATACAAAAATTAGCTGGACATGGTGGCACATGCCTGTAGTCCCAGCTACTCGGGAGGCTGAGGAAGAAGAATCGCTTGAACCCAGGGGGCGGAGGTTGTGGTCAGCAGAGATCTCACCACTGCACTCCAACCAGGCACTCCCTCTCAAAAAAAAAAAAAAAACCTAATAAAATAAATAAATAAATCTTGAGAAAACTTTCTTAAGTTCATGAGGTAATCAATGTCAGAGCCAGAGTAAGACCTTAACAATTTTAGCCCAATAATCCACTCAGATTTTGGGGTTAGAAATACAAGTGTTAAACTGTGACTGAAAATGGGCACATATATATTGTGTCATAGTTATGTATAAATAGGTATAGAAAATATATCAAGCCAAATTGTTGAAGTGGGATACCTTTGAATAGTTCCATAAAATTAAGGTGGGATTACAATTTTAGGTGTCAGAACAGTCATGACAAGGCTTGAAAATTCTAAAGATCAGGATAAATGATTTTTATACTGGAAAATAATTTCCTTTCTAGTTTTGTTATATTATCTAGTATCAAAGTCCTAGATATAAACCAGGTACACAGAAAATATTAATACATGTTAAATTGAAAAAAACTACCATGGTCGGTAGTTTCAAATATTAGCCACTAACAAGAGAAGGTCTGTATAATTTACAGAAGAGAGATAAGAATGCAGGTAGGGAAGACATAATAAAGAGGAATAACTTGTAAATCATGACAATTTAAAAAATAGGTGTTATTTAGGTCTTTATTAATCTCTGCCAGTTCAAAGAAATTTGCACTGAAATCTGCAAAATCACAAGCAAAATCTATTAGAGGAGTTTTTTTAGGAGAAAACTAAAACTTAGATGAATTATAAGCTTAATAGCTGCTTTTTGGTAAAGGCAATAAATGTCCCTGTTTTAACCAAATTTCCTTATGACCAGTGGTGCCCATCTGTCAGATGGTTCCTAGGATGGGATGAGGAAAGTGATGTCAAAAGCATAAAAACCAATCTCCTACAGGGTTCAAATCATAGCATGACACTTGATGATGCTCATACATGTGCACTCACCTATTTAACTAAATTTTTACATAGAGTGGGTTTTTTTTCCCTAACTTAACATTTAGTCTGATTTTTCTATCACTGATGTATATTTTCCTTACTCTCAATAAAAAGTTATTGTCATATTTTCTTCCTCTGTATTTCCTTCTATGTCTTAAAATTTCTGGCCTTCTGATATGCTTTTTACTTACATATAAACCAAGGGTGTCCAATCTTTTGGCTTCCCCGGGGCACACTGGAAGAAGAATAGTTGTCTTGGGCCACACATAAAATACACTAATGGTAACAATAGCTGATGAATTTAAAAAAAAAAGTAAAAAAAAAAAATCTCATAATGTTTGAAGAAAGTTTACAAGTTTGTGTTGTGCCATATTCAAAGCTGTCTTGGGTCGCATGTAGCCGGTGGGTACTATGGTTTGGACAAGCTTAAAATAAACCAGAGCAGTCTATAGTTCTTTTAGTTTGAATAATAATAAAAAAATAAAGTGCATGGTTACTCTTTCATGTGTTTCAATACTTGAGAATAAAAGCTGGATACAATAAAAGTATCAACAGGTAAAAACGTATGGACAAATTCCTTGAGTATCTTAGCATGCATTGTACCTGATACATAGCAGGCTTACAATAATTGAATGAATGACTGGTTGATTAGCAGAATAAATGACAGAAAGAAACAGGAAGATTCTGGGCATTCTGAGAGGGGCAGGAATTTACCTCTAAACAGTTCTTCTGGCACATAACCATACAGACTAAATTCACTTGCTTTTCTGAAGGAATACCAAAGCTTCCATTCAAAAACAGTAGTTGTATGAAGAGAAGCTGTCATATCCCACACCAAAACAAGGCTAGGCAGGAAGAGAACCATATTTGAGAGAGGGATTTCAGACAGACTTTGTTCTCAATGCTAAAGGCAGCTAAGTGTCACAGTTCTATAAACATTATTCACAGGTATACAAACATGTGGTAAACAACAGAAAGTACTAGTGTCTCAAAACAGGAAAAGTTCAGCAACACAGGATGGTGGAAATATATCTGAGTACATGAAGCAAGGTGTAAGTTGAAGACATGTATTAAGGCCCTAGAAAATAATAGTATTTAACAAATATCACCCTGTGTTACTGAACTTCTAGTCCTCTAGAGGGAGATGAAGGGTGATGGAAGTCTTACTTTTCTGTTTCCTACCAGCCTGGGCCAACCACACTGCTCCCATCTAGCTCTCAATTCCTACCCAGTTCGCAGGAGTGTCACAACCTGCCCTTATTCTTTTATTTTTTAATTGTGGTAATTATACATAACATAAAATTTGCCATTTTAACTATTCCCCCCCCTTTTTTTTTTGGAGATGGAGTCTCCCACTGTCACCAGGCTGTAGTGCAGTGGTGCAATCTCGGCTCACTGCAATCTCTGCCTCCTGGGTTCAAGCAGTTCTCCTGCCTCAGCCTCCCAAGTAGCTGGGACTATAGGCATGCACCACCATGCCCAGCTAATTTTTTTTTTTTTTTTGTATTTTTAGTAGAGACGGGGTTTCACCATGTTGGCCAGGATGGTCTCTATCTCCTGACCTCATTACCTGCTTGCCTCGGCCTCCCAAAGTGCTGGGATTACAGGTGTGAGCCATTGCACCCAGCCAACTATTTTACTTTTTAAAAATTTATTATTATTATTGTTATTTTTGAGATGAAGTTTCACTCTCGTTGCCCAGGATGGAGTGCAGTGGCATGATCTCAGCTCACTGCAACCTCTGCCTCCCAGGTTCAAGTGATTCTCCTGCCTCAGGCCTCCACAGTAGCTGGGATTACAGGTGCCTGCCACCATGCCTGGCTTAGTATTTTTAGTAGAGACAGGGTTTCAACGTGTTGGCCAGGTTGGTCTTGAACTCCTGACCCCAGGTGATCCACCTGCCTTGGCCTCCCAAAGTGCAGGGATTACAGGCGTCAGCCACCGCACCTGGCCAACTATTTTAAAGTATATAATTTTAAGTGCACCATTCAGTGGCTTTAAGTACATTCATATTGCTGTACAAACCATCACCACTTTCCATCTCTAGAACCTTTTCATCATCCCAAACTGAAGCTCTATACTCATTAAACAATAACCCCCATCTCTCCCTGTCTCCAGTCTCTAGAAAACACATATTTGCATCGTGTCTCTATGGATTTACTTATTCCGGAAATTTCATAAACATGGAATTATATAACATGTGATCCTTTGCTTCTGATTTCTTTGTTAGCATAATGTTTCAGTGTTCAACCCCAGTGTAGCATATACCAGTCTGTTTTATGACTGAATAATGTTCCATTGTACATATATAACATAGCCAATCTAGTGATGAACATCTGGGCTCTTTCCACTTCTTGGCTATTGTGAATTAAAGATGCTGCTCTGAACATGACTGAATGTGTTATTTGTTTAGCATCCATTTCCAATTCCTTTGTATGTATACCTATGAGCAGAATTGCTGGGTCACATGGTAACTTTACGTTTAACTTTTTAAGGAACCACCAACTTATTTTAAAAAGCAGCTGAGCCGGGCGCGGTGGCTCAAGCCTGTAATCCCAGCACTTTGGGAGGCCGAGGCAGGTGGATCACGAGGTCAAGAGATCGAGACCATCCTGGTCAACATGGTGAAACCCCGTCTCTACTAAAACTACAAAAAATTAGCTGGGCATGGTGGCGCGTGCCTGTAATCCCAGCTGCTCAGGAGGCTGAGGCAGGAGAATTGCCTGAACCCAGGAGGTGGAGGTTGCAGTGAGCCGAGATCAGGCCATTGCACTCCAGCCTGGGTAACAAGAGCGAAACTCCGTCTCAAAAAAAAAAAAAAAAAAAAGCAGCTGAGATATTTTACATTCTCACTAGTAACATATGAGGATTCAATTTTCTCCATGCCTTCACATTTCTTATTTTCTGTTGTTATTGTTATAGCAATTCTAGTGGGTTTGCAGTGCTATCTTCTGTGGTTTTGATTTTGATTTCCCCCATGAATGTCTTTTCATGTGCTTACTTACAGTAAATCTTCTTTGAAGAAATGTCTACTAAAATCCTCTGCTCATCTTTCAACTAAGTTTTGTTGTTGTTATTGAGTTGGACTTCTTTATATATTGTGGATATTAATCCCTTATCAGATAGATGATAGAAAATATATCGACCAGGTGCAGTGGCTCACACCTGTAATCCCAAAACTTTGGGAGGCTGAGGCGGGCAGGTCACCAGAGGTCAGGAGTTCAAGACGAGCGTGGCCAACATGGCAAAACCCCATCTCTCCTAAAAATACAAAAATTAGCTGGGCATGGTGGTGGGTTCCTATAGTCCCAGCTTCTCGGGAGGCTGAGGTGGGAGAATGGCTTGAACCTGGGAGGTTGAGGTTGCAGTGAGCCGAGATTATACCACTGCGCTCCAGCCCAGGTGACAACAGTGAGACTGTCTCAAAAAGAAAAGAAAAGATATCATATATGCAAATATTTTCTCCCATTCTGTGGGTTTCATTTTTACTCTCTCTCCTTTTTTTATTTTAGAGATGGGGGTCTCACTATGTTGCCCAGGCTTGTTTTGAACTCCTGGGCTCAAGCAATCCCCCTGCCTCAGCCTCCCGAAGTGTTAGGATTATAGGCCTGAGACACTGTGCCTGGCCCATTTTTACTCTCTTCATGGTATCCTTTGATACACAAAAGTTTTTAATTTTCATGAAGTCTAAGTTATCTGTTTGTTTTTCTTTTGTTGTCGTATCCAAGAAAATTTGCTAACTGCAATGTCAAGAAGCTTTCCTTCTATGTTTTCTTTCAGTAGTTTTATAATTTTAGCTCTTATATCTTTGACCCATTTTTATAAAATTTTCTATATAGTTTAAGGTAATAGTCCAACTTCACTCTTTTGTAAGAGGATATTCAGTTTCCCCACCATTATTTGTGGAAAAGACTGTCTCTTCCACACCGAATGATCTTGGCAGCCTTGTTGAACATTTTTGACCATACATGCAAGGATTTATAACTAGGCTGTCTATTTTATTTCACTGGTCCTTACATCTGTCCATGTGCCAGTACTGTAGCTTTGTGGTAAAGTGCAAAATCAGGAAGTATGAATTCTCTAACTCTGTTCTTGTTCAAGTTTTTTATTTTTTCTTGGGGATCCCTTGAGATTCAATTTTGATGGGGACTGCACTGAATATGATTGCCCTGGGTAGTACTGTCATTTTAATAACATTAAGTCTTCCAATCCATGAACATAAAATACTTTTCCATTTATTTAAGTCTAGGTTTCATAACTGCTGACGTTTTGTCATATTTGTTTTACCTCTGCAACATTCCACTTCTTCATTTCCTATTTAAGCAACAGTAATCTTCTGGTTCTCCTTACTTTGGGAATATTCCTTTTCTGGTTCTGATTCCTCAGTTTCTCTCCTAGATGTTTTTCTTCTATGTGCTTACCTGATTTTAGCTATCCAATGTATGTCAAGGTCCCCAGTAGTTACATCTCTAGTTCTGATTTCTTTATTTTTTTTTGAGACAGAGTTTTGCTCTGTTGCCTACGCTGAAGTGCAGTGGCATGATCGCAGCTCACTACAACCTCTGCCTCCCAGGTTCAAGTGATTCTCCTGCCTCAGCCTTCTGAGTAGCTGGGACTACAGGCATGCGCCACCATGCCCAGCTAATTTTTGTATTTTTTAGTAGAGATGGGATTTCACCACGTTGGTCAGGATGGTCTAATCTCTTGACCTTGTGATCCACCTGCCTTGGCCTCCCAAAGTGCTGGGATTACAGGCGTTAGCCACCACACCTGGCCTCTAGTTCTGATTTCTTAAATTCGACATTAACAATTATCTGCTGAATATTTCCTGATATATGTCCTACTTGTATCATAAACTTGGCACATCCCAAACTGATTACATATCATTCTCTCTGCCAAACTATCACCTCCTAACTGTGCCCCATATTTTTGTTAAGTGTACCTCTCTCCTCCAATCACCTAGTAGGTATTTTTACTTCTTCCTTCCCCTTATTGCATTATCCAGTCAATTGACTTCTTGAATCCTGAACATTCAAGATTTATCCAGTCTCTCCTCTGGTCTCTATTTCTACTAGCTACTTAATTCAGGAATTTATCTCTTACTAAGATGATTGCAAAAATCTTCTAATTGGTACTTCTCTTCCCTTTGATTTTATATACTTTTGCAGTGAAATGTTTCTAATACATGACAATATCACTTCACTGCCTACATATGATTTTAACACTTTAACCTCTCCTTCAAGATCTATGATTTGGCTGCAACCTACTTTTACAAACATGTGTTCTCTTTATCATTTCAAGTATCTTTTGGCCCAGCTGAATTAAATTACTCACTGGCCCTGATAATATGCTTTGAGCAGTTCTGTCTCAAGACTGATTTATT